AGCGTATATGCTGCTGGCCCTTGTGTTCTGAACATTGATGCTAATTTTTTGGTTTATTTCCATGTTGACCCCATGAGGATCAAATGGGTAATGGGGTCAGGCTTGAGGGGAGATTGTCCTTAGTAAGTGCAGGCCGGAGGGTCACTGGTGATGATGCCACTGTGACTGGCCTTGGTCATTTGTGTATTAGTAGGGAACCCCCCAGTGCTGCACCTGGAAGCCTTACCTAGTCTTTTTTTATTGAACCAAACACTAAGCAAGGGAGTGATAGTTCTACTGAAGAGCACTTGAGGGGGCTCAGCGTTTTGTGTTTGTTTCCCTAATTCTATGGTATTTTTTATCTGTCTGGCAGAGATCTTGTACAACCAGATAAACCTGCAAGTCCCAAGTTTATAGTGACGCTGGATGGTGTCCCCAGCCCCCCAGGATACATGTCAGATCAAGAGGAGGACATGTGCTTTGAAGGAATGAAACCCGTAAACCAAACTGCAGCCTCAAACAAGGGACTCAGAGGTCTCCTCCACCCACAGCAGTTGCACTTGCTGAGCAGGCAGCTTGAGGACCCAAATGGTAGCTTTTCCAACGGTGTGTTGAGAGCTCAGATTTTCAGGGTGCTGTCATTGTCAAGGGAATCTTTGACTTGTTTCTCTACCTTGAATGAATATTGGTTAAAGGCCTTGCTTTTATTTATATTCAGTAATGGCCTTTTTTCTTCTTTCAGACAAAACCACCAATTATATTTCAGACTCTTTTTTCTGTGTCTGTTTCATAGGTGGGCTGTTACTCCAGTGCGAAAATGGAGTTCAGCCATGGAACCTAAGAGTCCCCTTCCTTATGCTGGCTAAAGGATGGACCATCATTCTTGATGCCTTGTTTACCTTTTTATTTTCCTCAGAAACTGTACTGCCACTTTGCCCTTTTATTGGTAATAGTCTCTTGTAATTAACTTGAGAGAAAAATTTAGATTTGCTGCTATTTCTACCTCAGTGAAATTTCTTTGAAAGGAGTTTCTCACTTACTCTGTCAGGATACTTCTTGGAACTGTTTAAATTAATGTTGGAGAGTAATATTTAGCAGAACTCAGATGAACTTAATTCAGATAGCACCACGCTTTTAGGCAGGTGACAGTTTATCACTGCTTCTTCTCTCACTGGGTATCAGTGGCAACACTGATCATTTTCATTCACGATAGAGAACGATAATTATGTTCCTCATATCCTCTAAAATTTTCAGAAACACCTCTTCATTGGCAGGAGGGATAATTACTGAATCTTAAAAGTGTACAGATTCAGACGAAAAACATTAATGGATTTTGAAACATTTCCTTGATTAGTCCTCTTGGAAGATATTTCTATGAAAATGTATTGACTGCCTTTTTAGATCACTAAAAATAGACTTCAGAGGGAGATCATATGTTAGTGGAGCAATAACACTTAGCTTTATTTTAACTGGATGTGTTTCCTGTGGACCAGTGATGTGGTGTTGTGCTTTTGATTAGTGGAGGGAGTTGAAAATCTGACCTTATCAACAGGAAGAAAAACTTGAAAATAGTAAAAGCTGCAGTAATCAGGCAGTACAGATTTCTTGACTCTGTATGTTTTGTCTAAAGAGAAAACTCCAGTGTTTTCACAACTCTTGATTTTTCAATATGGTAGTTTAATTTTTTGGTCTGCTAGGATCTGATTTCATTTTAAATGTAGATGTCCATATGAGGCTTTTTGGGGGGTATACATGTAGCAGCAGTGACACTGTAAATAACATGTTAGTAAACATTCTTGCCAGTGCCATGGCCATTGTGCCGACAGCTGTGATGAGTGCTGAGCCTCCTTTCCATTGCTTTGACTGGGGACTCAGTTATTTGCTGCTGCTCAAGGATGAAGCTTTGTGAGAATTAGCACATGGGTCTGGCTGGAGAGACACCCGCAAAGCAGTTCTCAGCATTCTCTAGCCTCTGTACCTCTTCCCTTGTGAGCAAGGAGTTTGAAACTGCAAATGCTTCTGGTTGGTTTTATGTTGGGTTGTTTCAAACAGCAACATCTGTTTCAACCTGTACCTTTTCATTAACCATCATATGGCAGCACAGATTTTATAGCCCTTTTTTTTTTTTTGAGAATGAGTCTCTGTCTGTCCCCCAGGCTAGAGTGGTGCGATCTCAGCTCACTACAACCTCCACCTCCCGGGTTCAAGCCATTTTCCCGCCGCAGCCTCCCAAGTAGCTGGAATTACAGGCATGCACCATCGTGCCTGGCTAATTTTGGTTTAAGTAGAGATGGGGTCTCACCATGTTGGTCAGGCTGGTCTCAAGCTCCTGACCTCAAGTGATCTACCCACCTCAGCCTTCCCAGAGTGCTGGGATTACAGGCGTGAGCCACCGCGCCCAACCTAAAGCATTCAATAAAAAGTGAATTTGCCTCTTAAAATTTGAACAGGAAAAGTTTAATAGCTTACAAAGTCAGTGTCAGCCAGAGAAATGACTGATAGAAACATTATGACTTAATGCTTCTATCAGAAAGATCGTTTCTTTGTAAAGTATTATTGTGATAATAAAGGTTCTTTGTAAAGTATTATATTGTTCCTGATTATCTAGCTACTTTACTTCCCAGCTAGGCTTCTCTTGGGTATTCTCTTAATCTTTTATTTGTACTGGGTTCTTGTGTATGTATTATAGTCTCTGTGTGTAATTTATTATAGGAAAAAGGCAAGACACATTTACTCGGCAGGGATGACAGAAAAAATTTAAAAGTCAGTGAAACTCCAGTCATCTCAGATTTTCTTTGGAACTAAGAATATTCTTGTATCTTAGAACTAAAATGAATTTTACTGGTTTTTTTTTTTTTTTTTTGAGACAGGGTCTTACTCCCATTGCCCAGGCTGGCGTTAGTGGTGCAGTCAAGGCCCACTGCAGCCTCAGCCTCCCAGACTCAGGTGATTCTCCCACCTCAGCTGCCTCAGTAGTTGGTTACTACAGGTGCACATCACTGTGCCCGGCTAATTTTTTGTATTTTTAGTGGAGGCCAGGTTTCACCGTGTTGCCCAGGCTGAGCTCAATAATCTGCCCATCTTGGCCTCCCATAGTGCTGGGATTACAGGCATGACCCACCGTGCCCAGTGACTTTTACTATTTTTAAAGTAGCATAGAAAATTGTATGTATCAGGCATTGTCATAATTGCTCTTTGATGATGCTCCTATCTGGGCTGCATGACTGGATTTGTGTGCCTTGTTCTCCTGTAATGAGGACAGAACGTGGGTCACTGGAACAGTAAGTACTCACAGTACTAGCTGCTGCTGCTATTATGATTGGTTGCCTGTTTTGTATTTTTTCCATTTAATCATCAGACTCTAAGGAAGACATTATTTTCTCTTTGTATAGGTGAGGAAATGGAATTCAGAGAACTTAGCTGACATTTGCAGAGTGTCTAGCTGAGGACTAGAGGAATATAGTTGAAGTGATACTTGCTTTTGTGAACATGAATGTGAACCATAATACATAATACCCATGATGATATTTTGGGGGAGGTTAAGGTGTCTCAGGCCAGAAATTAGCAGCAGATTATCACCTCTAGCTGTAATTTTACTTATTCAGTGTTTTGTGGGGTTTTTTGTTGTTGTTGTTTTGGTTTGCTTTTTTTGAGGTGGAGTTTTGCCCTTGTTGCCCAGGCTGGAGTGTAATGGTGCAATCTTGGCTCACTGCAACCTCTGCCTCCTGGGTTCAAGCGATTCTCCTGCCTCAGCCTCCCAAGTAGCTGGGATTACAGGCTTGTGTCACCACGCCCAGCTAATTTTTGTATTTTTAGTAGAGACGGGGTTTCCCCATGTTGGTCAGGCTGGTCTCGAAGTCCTGACCTCAGGTGATCCACCTGCCTTGGCCTCCAGAAGCGTTGGGATTACCTGTGTGAGCTACCTTGCCCAGGAATTCAGTGTTATTTGAATAAATCACCAGCATTACAGTTTCATTGAAAGCAGATTTTTGACTACTGAAACATAATAAAAATCTGGCAACAGGGGTCCCTCTTTGCCCTGTCATAGTAATTGAAGCTGTGATTGGACATGGCACAGGGAATGGGGTGGTACTTGCTTTCCAGGTTGCAGCTCCCCATCTGTCCCTTACTGGATTTATCGTCGTCAGCCCAGTCAGTCTTGTTGTGTTAGGGGAATTGCCCAGTCCCTGTTGGTGATGGCATTTGTGACCCCATTGTAGGCAAAAATATTTTCCCCCTTTTTAGACATTGCTGGCTGAGCATGGTGGCTCATACTTATAATCCCAGTACTTTGGGAGGCCGAGGTGGGTAGATTGCTTGAGTCCCAAAGTTTAAGACCAGCCTGAGCAACATGGTGAAACCCCTTCTCTACAAAAGAGAGATAAAAACTAGCCAGACGTGGTGGTACATGCTACTTGGGTAGGGGCTGAGGTAGGAGGATCACTTGAGGCAGAGGTTGCAGTGAGCTCAGATCACGCCACTGGCACACCACTGCACTGCACTCCATCCTGGATGACAGAGCAGGACCCTGTTTGACCAAAAAAAGTAAAAATAGACATTGTTGTGAGTTTAGCACCTAGACTTACAGCTCAGCAAGTGGGAATACTTTTGTATTTGGATCACTCACAATCTTGCTGGCATGTGAGAATTTACATTTCCTTATCACCTTACATGTTTTCAGTTTTTAATTTTATTGGTTCCTTATTTAACATCCTTCCCCTCTCTTTTAATTCAGCTGTGAATTAGTATTGAGAATTAGAATTGTTGGTGAAAACTTTGGCCTTAGCTGCAGAAGCACTATCCTCATTCCTTTTCACAGTGAGAACTATTGTCTCCTTCCTGTTGTCTTTTATAGGTTTCTGTTGCCAGTGTTAATCTTATTATTTGGGCTCACTTATTTTACATGACTGTACATTTAACGGAAGATTTGAAGACTGGGGTTTGAGGGAAATTTGTTGAAGGTGCTGTGTACTGAATTGATCATAATGAATGAAATACTTTTAATTCCTTTCTTTTTGTAGCTGAGATGAGTGAACTGAGTGTGGCACAGAAACCAGAAAAACTTTTGGAGCGCTGCAAGTACTGGCCTGCTTGTAAAAACGGGGATGAGTGTGCCTACCACCACCCCATCTCACCCTGCAAGTGAGTACCATCCCCCATCTCACCCTGCAAGTACCATCCCCCATCTCACCCTGCAATTGTGTACCACCCCCATCTCACCCTGTAAGTACCATCCTCCCGTCTCACTCTCCAAGTCAGTACCATGCCCCCATCTCACCCTCCAAGTACTATCCTCCCATCTCACCCTGTAAGTGTGTACCATCCCCAATCTCACCCTGCAAGTACCATCCTTCCATCTCACCCTGCAAGTGGGTACCATCCCCCATCTCACCCTGCAAGTGGGCACCATCCCATCTCACCCTGAAAGTGGGTACCATTCCCTCATCTCACCCTGAAAGTGGGTACCATTCCATCTCACCCTGAAAGTGGGTACCGTTCCCCCATCTCACCCTGAAAGTGGGTACCATTCCCCCATCTCACCCTGAAAGTGGGTACTGTTCCCCCATCTCACCCTGAAAGTGGATACCATCTTCACATCTCACCCTGCAAGTACCATCCCCCCATCTCACCCTGCAAGTGGGTACCATTCCCTCATCTCACCCTGAAAGTGGGTACCATCCCCCATCTCACCCTGAAAGTGGGTACCATCCCCCATCTCACCCTGCAGGTGAGTACCGTCACCCTATCTCACCCTGCAAATGAGTCATAGCCAGCTGATTTTGGCTTTCAGTTTAGTGTCTATATCTTATACCTTATTTTGTTTTCTTTTCTGTGGATGAGTTTTGAGTTTTATAACTAAATGCAGTGAGGATTACCATGGCCCTTTCCAGAGCAGTGTATTTCTTGTTTATGCGTGTCTGTTGGGAGGTGGGCGGGGGGGGGTGCTTTTCTTTGTGCCTCAGACCTGTGAGATACAGAAATACCTGGAGTTTCTTAAGAATTCTGTACGTTTAAGGAGATGGGTGTATGATAACTGCCCCAGTTTGTATGCATTTTGGCCACACACACTATACACAGATTTTGAGGAGTTGAGGGACTAGTTATGAATAATGAAAATTTTGGACTTGGGTTAAATTTTTCCTTACAAGTTGGCTGGCTTAATGTAATGAACTTTGTGAGATGTCTTTTAGGGGCTTTATTTTTCAGGAGCAAGGGTCCTATGAATGGAATCTCCATTTTTAACTTCTCTTAAGGAACTATTTATGTGGGTATAATACGGCTGTACATATAAGGAGAATATGGGATGAGTCTTTTTGTTGCACAAGGCCTTGCATAGAGGATGTGTTTATTGTATTGAGTTCACTGCATGAAACATAGACCTGACTTATTAAGTGGTGTGATTTTTTAATCACAAAAGCTTCCGTCTTTTCTGCTGGCTTGGCTTGAGTTAAAAGCCTGTGTTTGTCACTCATGTTCTCACTCATAAGTGGTTGTTGAACAGTAAGAACACATAGACACAGGGAGGGGAATATCACACACTGGGGGCTGTTGGGGTATCATAGGCTAGGGGAGGGATAGCAGGGGATGGGGAGACTGGGGAGGGATAACATTAGGAGAAATACCTAATGTAGGTGACAGCGGGGATGGAGGCAGCAAACCACCATGGCATGTGTATACCTATGTAACAATCGTGCAAGATCTGCACATATACCCCAGAACTTAAGTAAATTTTTTTTAAAAATCTCATCTTTAAAAAAAAAAGCCTGTATTTGTGTTTTCCCAGGCTTTGGAATAAATGACTGTGTCCTATTTTGATAAATGGCCCCATTTAAAAATACTCTTTTTGTTGTTGCTGTTGCATTTCTCAAAACAAGTAGTGATGGGGGGTGTAAAAAGCCTTTATACAGGCCGGGCGCGGTGGCTCAAGCCTGTAATCCCAGCACTTTGGGAGGCCGAGACGGGTGGATCACGAGGTCAAGAGATCGAGACCATCCTGGTCAACATGGTGTGAAACACAATCTCTACTAAAAATACAAAAAATCAGCTGGGCATGGTGGCGCATGCCTGTAATCCCAGCTACTCAGGAGGCTGAGGCAGGAGAATTGCCTGAACCCAGGAGACGGAGGTTGCGGTGAGCCGAGATTGCGCCATTGCACTCCCGCCTGGGTAAAAACAACGAACCTCCGTCTCAAAAAAAAAAAAAAAAAAAAAAAAAGCCTTTATACAAAAAACTAATAATGCATTGAGAAGATTATGAAATACGCTTTTTTTTTTTGTTTTGTAGAGCCTTCCCCAATTGTAAATTTGCTGAAAAATGTTTGTTTGTTCACCCAAATTGTAAATATGATGCAAAGTGTACGAAACCAGATTGTCCTTTCACTCATGTGAGTAGAAGAATTCCAGTACTGTCTCCAAAACCAGGTGAGTAACTTACTGTTGCAACTGCATTTGGGTAAAAAATGTGAAATGGCATCTTACGAACAAACAGAATTGAACAAACAAAAAGGTGGTTTTAGAAATAATTTTGGCAGGATCAGTTAATCCAACCAGTCTTTAAATAGCAAGTGTGCCTATCTGTAGTACTCTGAAGTATTTTGAGTAGTGAATATATAAACCTTACCATTCTAATTTAAAAATGGTTTTTACTTTCATAAGAAAATCAGTAGACTGCATTAAAAATGGATTTTCCAGACAGATTGGGTGAGTCCCGGTTTTTACTTTGTTAGCAGTGGCAACGCCAGCACCACCTTCCAGTAGTCAGCTCTGCCGCTACTTCCCAGCTTGTAAGAAGATGGAATGTCCCTTCTATCATCCAAAAGTAAGAACTTTTCCCAAAAATCAATTTAACGATAAAATCTCAAATTACTCATCTAACTTCTTTTTGTCAGAGTTACTAGGCTGGTGCAAAAGTAATTGTGATTTTTGCCAGTAAAATCTATTAAGTTGTTCCTTCACTGTCACCGAGTCTCCATCTGGCCCCTTAGGCCAAGTGGTCTGAAACTGTTTAATGTTAGTATCCTAAGCACTCAGTAGGAAGAGGCATGCCTTTGCTAGTCACATTTTTCATTTTTCTCTGCATTTAAGCATGTGGGTGGTTTTTTGGGGGGTGTGGGGGGGCGGAGTTTGAACCTAATGCCAGAACTGAGATGGTGAAATCCCGTAGGTACTGCTTAAAACCATCTAAACTTGGACTGATGGTTTTAATTGTCTGTGTGCTAAAGATTGATGATGGTTGATGACTCTCCAGATGTTTAGTTGCTCAGAATGAATTATCTCCTTCCCCTAGTAGCCTGAGGAGTATATGAAAGGCCTTCACTTGCCCCATCTGTAACTGGGTGTAGATGAGAGTACAAGAGAAAAGTATAAAGGATAATTACTGCATCCATTAGAAGTTTATATGGTATGCTAAATTATCTTTGGAAATTTCACTTGTGGTGATTCTTTGACTAGAATTTTGTGTCTCAAGAGTAAGTTCATTTTTTCAAGGCTTCACTAGTATTAAAATGGTCATTATGGATGGGATCTCTTACTTTGTTAATGGTTAGGTTGAGCTGGTTGTTGTCATCCTAAGTTGTATGTTGGCCAGGTGGGGTGGCTCAGTCCTGTTAGTACTTTGGGAGGTAGAGGCAGAAATGGAAGGATCATTTGAGCCTGGGAGTTTGAAACTAGCCTAGGCAACATAGTGAGACCCCATCTCTTAAAAAAAAACCAGGTGTGATAGCACACGCCTGTAGTCCCAGTTACTCAGGAGGCTGAGGCAAGAGGTCACCTCAGCCTGGGGTGGTGGAGGCTACAGTGAGCCATGATCATGCCACTGCACTCCAGCCTGGGTGACAGAGTGAGACCCCGTCTCACATAATAAAAGTGTGTTTACTGATATTAGCCTTATGGATGTTGTTGAAGCTCTGTTCTCTCTATTCAGCACTGTAGGTTTAACACTCAGTGTACGAGACCGGACTGCACATTCTACCATCCTACCATTAATGTACCACCACGACATGCCTTGAAATGGATTCGACCTCAAACCAGGTAAACATTAACAATAGTTTTTCCAATGTCATTTCAAATCTTTTTCTAATTTGCAGTTTAATTTATAAGCACACAAAATGGGAAACTAGACTGTTACTGAATTTTTTTCTTTGCTGTATAATTATACAAGGATCCTTTGGCAAAATAATTTACTACATGGGCTAAATTTTATGTTACCCAGTGGTTACTTTTTTAACCTAGCGATTATCTTGCTCTGTTGCCCGGGCTGGAGTACAGTTACGCTATCACAGCTCACTGCAGCTCAAACTCCTGGGTTCAAGCCATCCTCCCACCTGAGACTCCCAAGTAGCTGGGACTACAAGCGCCCGCCACTACACCTAATTAATTTTTTTTTTTTTTAAGTAGGGATGGGGGTCTTGAAATCCTGAGCTCAAGCGATATCCTCCCACCTTGGCTTCCCAAAGTACCAGGAGTACAGGCATGAGCCACCATACCCAACCAGATTTTAACTTCTGATTATATACTACCGTAAGAGTATACTAAGGCCAGTAAGAGTATATATATGTACATGTACTGTTCATGAATCTCAAATTCATTTTCTTTGACATTAGCAAATGGGAAATATTGAAGGGTCAAGTTTCAAAATATTTTAGTGTGGCCTAAAAATTTAATTACATATGGTATTATCTTTTAGCTTATATAATTGAATTCTTGTAAAAAAATCTGCCATTTACATTCTTATGGCCAAATATTGTCTAAAACTACTTTTTAACTGAGATGTATATATGGATACAAAGCATAAAATTAAAACAATTTTTGGTTCTGTTCACTCAGCGAATAACACTCAGTCCTACCTGGCAGAAGATCATGCAGTTTGGAAGTTTCCATCTACTGATGAATACTCTACAAAACTTGTCAAATCTTTGAAACTTGGAATATATTGCTTTCATAATATGAAGTTTATTGCCTATCTGAATTGTCTAATTTTTCAAGTTTGTAAGTTTATTAAGTGGTTTTAACATTGGGTGTTTTTGTTTTGTTTTTACTATACAAAGACAGCTTAAAGAAGAGCTACATTCTGTTAAAATATTTGGGGCATGTTTGTGCACTGCTGTTGTGAGGATCAGCATATGAAATTGACGTCATGGTTAGTGATGGTGCTGCAGCTTAGGGGGCTCCACGGTTGCTGTGTGAGTGGAGAGAGGCAGTGAGGCAGGTGCCATTATTCTGAAAACTGAACTGCTTTCACTTTTCCCAAAGATTATATAACGTTCATAATCCACCATGAAAACAGGATTGGCCAAAGGTACGGAGGCTGCTGAAAATACTCAATTCTGCTTTTTAATTTTTAAGTGAATTCAGTTTGAAAAGCATGATAATACAGGCCTCTCAGGCTCAGTGCTACTTTGGTAAAGTTCCCAGTTTCCTTGCCTTTTGTGATAGGATGAACGAGGTGGGTATGGACAGTGAAGACAGCTGGAATGGCAAGTGCAGAAAACAGGAACAGTTCTACACATTTACTAATGGCATAATACCTTCTAAATAAATTTTTTGGGAAACTACATTATCACAAAATTATACAAATTTTTTTACAAGTATTTACATAAGGTATCTGAAAACAGACTTTAAAGTCACAAGATTATAAATGTACATATATATTCTCACATTCTGAAAAATAACATTCTCAGAAATAGCTCCACAGAAAATATACATAGTTACTACTGAAGATAATTTTTGAAATGTAAAAATTAGATTGAAATAGTATATTTTAAATGACAAAACTATAATTACAGAGATCAGATAGGTAAACTGTAAGATAGGATGAAACTTTTGGCCTACTGTATTACAGAGAGAGAGAGAGAGAGAGAGAGAGAGAGTGTGTGTGTGTGTGGTTTTTAAAACTGTTAAGGCAAGAAGTGTCAAATGCTTTAGAGTTAAACAAACAGATCACTGATTTCAAAGACTTGATGTATAGTAGTGTTAAAAATTAAAGCTTAAAAGGTGGTTAGAAAAGTAGATTAATGCAAAAGGGATAATAAAGACTGCAACATTCTCAGGACCAAATTAAACTGCTAAAAAGTTCATTGACTTGCTTAGTCATATACCCAAATGATGATAAACCTGCATGTGCAAAGGCTCATGTTTTAAGATTGTCAAGCCAGCAGTCTACTGTTGTGCTGCCATTGCTTTTCCATTGGGAGAAGAAAGAATTAACCAGTCATTAAACCATTTGGTAAGTTGCACTTTGCTGTGCTGATCCCACAGGAAAGGCTTGAAACATGAGAAGCAGCAAAGACAGAGCACACACGAGCATAAGGCTATTGTCTTCAGCTTGGGTGAAATGACAGTTCCTCTTCATTCTAAAAGCTTACTCCATTGAATTTAAGGCATTTGTTCATTCCAGCATTACTTGAGATGCTTTGCATCTCTGCAGAAGAAATTTATTTTAAATTGTTTAAATTTCTGGAAATATCCTTTTAGCTATCATTTATAAATGGTAAATAGTTTCGTTCTCAGTTTCACTATAAAGAGCAAATGGGAAACAAGGGCTTAATTTAGTTCAGCCATTTTGCAAGGAAATAAAGTACTAAAATCTGATTGGTTTTTGCTATTTAATAGACACTGCCCAGACACACGTTTTAAGTTTTCAGTTACTATGGCTTAAGAACAAGCTAAGGTTGACCCTAAAACATTTGTTGGATGATTTGGTCTAAAATGATCACCACAAAAAGGGATCGCAAAAAAGGAAGGAAACAAGCATGGTTGGCTATGTGAAACCAGAGTGCACGGTGCGCTTTGGCATGCATTTTACACAGAAAATGAACGCAACGAAAGGTGCCAGAAGTCCCAGTTTACGCAATCAGGAGCTTAGATACTGCACACAAAAATAATTCTCTGGGTTAAAAAAGTAAACAGGGCAGATTCTGTATGGCCTATCATGTTTCCTCACCTTCCCCTCATTGCTGGCTGATACATCGTGGTCAGGGGATGACTACTTAGTCAATATGATCTTTAGTCATGAAACTGACAGCAGCAATGATTAAGACTGATTTATCAGGTCGGCCACTTTGAAGGACAAAAATGCAACGGAAACAGTTTTAGTCTATGTAGTTTACATGCTTAAGGTTACAGAGTTTCTACCTGTCCTGTAATGGAAATATAATTTCTCTGTAGCCAAAAGCTGGCAAACTTCAAATTCAAAACTGCAACAGGCTGAAATGTAGACTATTTTTCTTTTTATGGATGGGTTGTTCAGGGATTTTTTTCCCCCTTTATTGACTGACTACAAATACATGAGTAGAATTAATAGTCATGTATTCCAAAATTTGGCTTAATTTAGGAGAATCTATTGAATGAGTACCAACTTACATTTCAAGCTGCTTAGCCCCATAATCAGTCCTTCAGCCACAGCAATTTAGAGCTTTAAAACTACCAGGTTCAGTCACTGGTTATGCTTTCTGTGATGTAATTTAGTAATTTCTGTTTTTAGTATTAACCAAGTATTAGACACAGAAAATAGATATTAAGAATCTTCATATATCCTGTCCAACCAAATGGTATTCCAGAAACCTGAAGGGATCTATTATGCTATAAAGACAATTAACACATTAAAGTGAAAACTCATAGGACCAATACAGCATCTTAAACTTCACACTTAGAAAAATATATTTTTAAATAGCACTCTACATAATTTTCACTCTTCAGGAAACTACAGATAGGCTAGACAGCGAATTCCTGAATGATGAGTACTGATCTTTGGCAGCATTTAAAGTGAAAAGAAAAAAGGATCTAAGAATTCAGCCCTAGTCCACTAAAAAAGGAATTCTAATGGACAAGTTTTACAAATGGAGTTGGGTTCATTCATTTTGGAAATAAGCCTATGGAGTGGCACACATTTAGCTGAATACATTTTCTCAATAGAAAAAAAGCTAAAAAATTTTATTCCAAGAGTGATTAAATTGTATAGTGTTGTATATGTGAATTTAACACTTTTGTTTACATGTTAAACAAATGTCTATTATATTAGACCACATCATTAAATATGCAACACTCTCTTCCAGTTAAATACCGTTGCTCTCGAAAAACCTTTAAACTGTACACCATTGGGAATTTACCACTTTTGCATTAGTGAGGTTACAATTCAGTTTTAAATTTTCAGTTACAGAAATGGCGTCTGAACATAAACTGATGTCTCAAAAATGAAAATGAAGCAGCCATATATGACTAACTTTGGATCTGTTCCTGAATTCAAACTATTAGGAGAAAAGTGTCCTTTATTAAAAAAAAAAAAAAAAAAAAAAAAAAGGACTTTATTAATGCTTAAAAAACATCATATTCTCCAGGAAAGCTTTTGTCTATTTCCTTAGGGAAAATGTTTGCCTTTTAAAAACTGTGATCCTTTAGGGTGATCATGACTCTCCCTTTCCTTACGGAAATGCAAGAATAAAATACTTCATTAAACAATGAACCTTGAAAATAAAATATAAACACTAAGAAACCATTTCAGTAAAAAGATGATGAAAATTATCCAAATTGGGTTTTTGAGTTTTTCTGTAAAGGGTGAAGAAGTATCCTAAATTTTCCCAGCAGGTCTGCCAAAATTGCACACTTCCCAGTACACCACGGGGACTTGGCTTTTACTATCAAGTATTCAATCCTTCCTTGAAATGGCATTATCTGGCAGTGTATGGATTATGGATTATACCCAGTACATAACAGCAAGTATTTTGAATAGATCAGTCTTTCACTATTTTGATGGGTCTGGGCATTTCTCCCTGTTACAGTCTTGGGTTAGCACCACTTGACCATGCAGGGTTTGGTTTTGGTTTTTCTTCTCCCCTGTAATTCTGGTCTCAAGGTTAATTTGTGTAGTCATCTCAGCATCTCTCAGTGAGGCATATGTACGCATTTCCAGACAAATAAGCTGCAATTAGAGAAGACAATTGCAGGAAGTTCAATTTTTAGATTTTTATAACATTTTAATATTTTTCATTTGAACTTTCAATTACACATATGTAATGTTTTTCCTCATTAACTCCTTTTATTCTATATTTGCATAAGTTGAGATTCTTAAGAACCATCTGGTTATACTACCTTCTGCTAATGTTGACTAGCTGGTTTCATAAATCAAAGCTGTAGGAGTTAGTATATTAAATCTCTGAACTAGTAACACATAGTCTGCTCTTCTTCATGGGCTGAGAAAGTTACTAACCTGCAGTCATCCCCTCCAGCACTAACAACATGTCGATCACCACTGGTAAATCGAATATTTGTCACGTGGGGTGAATGACCCAAGAACCTTTTGTGTTTTGCCTAAAAAGCAACGACAGACAAAGCTCAGGGCATTTGGTGCACACAGAAGTCAAAGGCTCTTATTGGGGACTGTAATCTATCACAAGAGCTGTGGAGAGAGTAGGGAGTTAACACCACAGCCAGTGATTAGAATGCTTTTTCAGAGTGAGTGATGGATCTGCACTTAACACAAACCAGGCCGTTTGGGCAGTCAGATGTCTCCAGGTACACTGACAATTTTTCTCTAAGGAAAAGCATTTGAAATTTGATAATTTGAGTATAGGTTTGATGAAAAGCTAATTACAGCTTTTGTAGGATAGTTTCCAAAGATGGTATTACTTGAGGGAAAATATTTGTTTCTAATAGCCTTTTTTTTGAGACACAATCTCACTCTGTCACCAGGCTGGAGTGCAGTGGTGCGATCTCGGCTCATTGCAACCTTTGCCTCCTGGGTTCAAGCAATTCTGCTGCCTCAGCCTCCTGAGTAGCTGGGACTACAGGCACGTGCCATGACGCCCAGATAATTTTTGTATTTTTAATAGAGACAGGGTTTCACTATGTTGGCCAAGGATGGCCTCGATCTCTTGCCTTGTGATCCACCCGCCTCGGCCTCCCAAAGTGCTGGGATGACAGGCGTGAGCCATCAGGCCTGGCTCTAATAGCTTTTATTTCAGAGTAAATAGATTTAGAAAGTTTGAGGAAAATTCAGAAATACAAATTTGAAAGTATTTTCAAATTAGGACAAAACATGTAAAATATATGGGAAGAGTGCTGATGATCAGACATCAAAATTAGGAGCAAACTGATAATACTAAACACACATACTTACAAATTTTTCTGGACATGGGAAGTCAAATAACTTAACCATGCCAAAGTCATCTCCTGTTACAAGACTGATTCCTGAATGGGATACACAGGCACAGTTGACATCAGCTTTCTCAGCATGTCTGGACCAGATTCCCAAAACCTCATCTCCTAGAATACTGGAGGGAAGGAACAAAAGAAAACTCACCATAGCAAGGGTGGGCAGGTTGACCATATTCAAAAAGTTGATTGGCGATTTTAAGTACCCTAATGTATTACTTAAAATACAGGAAGTAAATTATGGTAAGGCTAGTTGTTTGGATACCTGAATTTCATCAGTATATTATCTCCTTTTAAAAATGAAATTTTATAATTTGAAGGGTTTTCTAGATTACTCATTTTATGATTAAAGTAGTACTTTATGAAAACTGATAGAACTATTTTTCTTATTTTGAGACAGAGTTTTGCTCTTGTTGCCCAGGCTGGAGTGCAATGGCGTGATCTCAGCTCACCACCACCTCAGCCTCCTGGGTTCAGGCGATTCTCCTATCTCTGCCTCCTGAGTAACTGGGATTACAGGCATGTGCCACCATGCCCAGCTAATTTTCTATTTTTAGTAGAGATGGGGTTTCTCCATTTTGGTCAGGCTGGTCTTGAACCCCCGACCTTAGATGATCCTCCCATCTTGGCCTCCCAAAGTGCTGGGATTATAGGCATGAGCCACTGCACCGGGCCAAAAACTGATAGAAATATTTGTCAAATTAAAAGTGATACTTGGCTGGGTCCAGCAGCTCATACTTGTAATCCCAACATTTTCGGAGGCTGAGGCAGGAGAACTGTTTGAGGCCAAGAGGTGAGACCAGCCCGGGCAACACTGTGAGACCCCCATCTCTACAAAAATGAAAATGATTTATTATATAGGAAATATTTTTTTAAAAGATTTTTTTCAGAGATGGGGTCTCGCTATGTTGCTCAGGCTGGTCTCAAACTAGGCTCAAGCAATCCTCCCATCTCAGCCTCCTGTGTCAGAGATTACAGGCATGAGCCACTGTAATACCTGGCTGATACAAAAATTTGGTGGCATTTTTCATTGGCCAAAAAAAAAAATCGATAGTCATGGTTACCTGTCATACAGCCAGAAAATTGGAACAGATTTATAAGCTTTGACTTCTAAAAGATTCAAGATAGCATTCCCATAGATAGAGAACTCATAGTTGCTTAACAGCACCCAATACCTTTTTGCCAGTCATTCAATTTAATGTTAAGAAAAATACCAGAGTATCTTTAAAACTTTGATTTCATTTCCTTAAAAAAAAACTTGATAAATCATGGGAATTGATAAAACATGGAAATATATTCAATACAAAGGGTCTCAACGTGAACATACTGTTACGTATTCTCTTCCTAAGAAAAGTTCAAGATATGGTAACAGAAACTTGAAACTCAATTACTATTCCTTGGTGGAGTGGCTCTAACAGTTCAGAAATAGGATTTTCCAATTT